ATATATATATATATATATAAGTAAAATTATTTTTAATTATATTAATCGAATATTTGATTGGCATTATTTCTTTCAATATTTAGCAGCTATTATCAGGTTCTTTTTTTAGTGTTCAAATCTGAAAATAATTTTATTGGACCATCAAAGTAGGATGCTCAAATATGATGAGCAATGTAAAAGTCTTTTTTTATATTCTAACAACTTGAGTGTCTTGCATAATTATTTTGATAGTCTAAGAAAATTATTTTGTATCTAGCTAAATAATATATATCAAAGTAAATTTTCAGATTTTTATTTTAGCAAAATTATTCTTTCCGTGTAAAAAAGCAATCTCGAATTTAAATTGAACAATAGTTCAAAAGACACTCTTTTCTAAAGTTTCCTGCAAAAATTACCAGGAAAAAGATTCGATCGAAGGTACTGAGGACAAAATAAATATCAATGAGAAGCTTCACAAAGACCTCTCTTATCTAGAAGGCACTTATTCTTTATGTCAAATGTTAATTCTGTACCAACAAAGCTTGGCGTCACAGATTCATTTATGTACATTTTAATACAGAGTTATTCAACACCGTGACGCGCAATCGTCGCACGCAACAACTGGAGCACGTGAAGAATTTACTTACTTTGCGAATGTCTTCTAAATTGTGAATTTCTGGCGACAGACCACCGTGTACGCAGAGGAACTGTTGGTTCATGAGGGCAGCGAGCGGCAAACAGTCGAAGGCATCCATGCACGCGTCGTACACCCTCTCGGAGTATTTTATTTTACCTGAAAGCAAAAAAGGAAAAAATGTCCCAAATTAAAATAACAGATTAGAACTTTGTCCACGCGAGAGTATTTCGCAATTTCTATCAGAGCTTCGTGGCGATTTACAATGATCGTACGAATGTGTCGAGGACTACTTTCATAGCTCCTTTACGAAACGAGATGAGAACACATGAGAGATCGGAGGTTGACACGTCTAATCTGACGTTCGGCGAAAAGGTCGAGATGAAGGAGGAAATAAAGGCGACGCAAGGGAGTCGTGAGGAAAGATCCTGACAAGCCCAGGCGAAACACGCATAGTCGGGCATGGACTACTATTCCGCGAACGAGTCGTAAAAAGAATGGCGAACACACGGGGGGGCTCTATTTCACGTCGCAGTCCTCCGCGGAATAATGGATACTCTCTAGAATACGGAGAGAAGCCGGCTGGCGTCGTCCACGCCTGTTCTGTGTTCCTGAAATTTCGCTGCGCTTTCTCTCCTCCGTCCGCAGTTTCTTCTCTCCACCGTGCCCACGAATGCAACCGACAGCCCGCTCCGTCTCGCGCGAGCGATAAACCGCTCCGGCGGATAAGATCCGGAACGGGTAATCGTTGTCTTATTTCTCGAGCGGCCTTATTTCTAAAACGGACCAATTCCGTGGTCCCGTGTTTTCTCATTCCTCTTTTTCGATTCCAAGTTCGGATTACTTTTACAACTAACTCGTATGACGCTGTTTCACATGAAAATTGTAAAACTTTAACTCTCAGAAGGGTATCGTAAGATAGCTCTCCTCGAGCCATCGCTCTCTGTTTCTGACATGTTTCCTGTTAAATGTGACCTCGGAAATTGACGTGAAGCGAGCTGTATTTACTACATAGAAGGAGGATCGTCGAATCACTGTTCGAGGTGACGCGCGAAAAGGATTTCGTACCAATAAAGCGGAGTAATCTCGACAGGATAAAGATTTGTCGGCTCGGAAGCTAAACGGATCGTCGTCGCTCGAAGTTGCCACTCGAGGACCTTCACGAGATCTCGCAAATGAACGACCAGTTGGTGGACGTAGGAGCCTCTTTGGGGTTGCAGATTGAAGTATTGCGAAACGGATGTCTGTAATATCGCGCCAAGGACGGACTCGGCGAAGCTCTCATGTCTCGAGATTATTAAAGCAGAGAGAAATAAAGAGAAAGACACCATTGTGAGATGTCTAACAAAGACTAATCGACAACATCATAATTAAACCGACAGATAATTAAGGAAAGTAAGATTAATTGTAAATAATGTAGAAATTCGATCGAGGTCGACTAAACGTGGGAACGATTAAAAACAATCTGAAATAAATTTAAACACAGATTATCGAACGGAACTCTTATTGGGTGACTAGAAAATATACAGGGTGACGTATGAAATGTCGTATCGTTTAATTGTACAATTTTCAGACCTTCATACACGGAAAGAATGGTTTTGTCGAGTATCTAAAAATTCAGCTAAATATAAATGTGAATATAATTTTTTCTTGGACCGTCCAAATCGTTAAGTCACTTAAATTGATTGCAAAAATGTTAAAATTTTTTACAGCATTGTCATCAACGTTTAAACATCTCACGTAATTATTTTGAATCTTTTTTATCCCTGCAGCACTAGACTTCATTAGAATTCTCTCTCTCTCTCTCTCTTTCTCGCTTTTGTCAAATATCGAACATACATATCTCACTTTAAGTTCCAAAAGTGTGTACTAGTTCAGCCTTTTGATGGCCCAATAAAATTATTTTTAGACTTACAGCTAGTCAAATTTTTTTAATTACATCAGCAAAACCATTCTTTCCGTTTAATTAATCCTAATTAGTGTTGCGAGATATAAAATTATATTCTATCAATTTTGTTAAAAATAAATGCGTTAAATATAAAATAGTATAACATTTTGTGCGCCATCCTGTATCTTGTGATCCATTCGCAAGAAAGCACGCAACGACTGCTGATCTTTCACAAGCAGTGTTTTATTCTATCCTCGTGACTATTACGCGGAGCACACGCTGGCTGCGTACCGCGACAAAAATGATGATTCTGGCGAAATCGTTGGCGAATTAATTGCGCGTCCGTCTCCCATATTCGCGGACAAACGATCGTTTTTGGCACAGAGATCCATTTCGAAACGACATGCCGTCGCGATCTTGGCGCGCGGCCACCGCGTCCCGGCTTCTAGCGCGAAAAGCGTGCGAGCGACAAAATCGTTCGGAATAATGTGTTTCTCGAGCTCGAGCTTCGGCATGCGAAACTTTCAGGAAGCGCGATCGTTAAGGTTTCCAGCGTCGTGCACTGCTAGATGGAGCCAGATAAGAACAGTCGCGAGACAATCGCGAAATAAGCGCTGTAATACTCTCGTATAGACTATAACTGAATATAACAAAATATATAATAAAAGTATACAATAAAGTACAATATTTTAGTATTAGCTCTTCGAAGAGCCGATATGTACAGTTGAAAATTTGCCGCAGTCACGACAAGTGAGACTCATTCAATTTTCGTTAAATGAAAGACACTAGAATTAATTTGAAGGAACCAAGGTGACGTAACTGCAAAAGAATAAATATCAAATTTACTTGAATACCAATAACTTAAATTTACAGATGTATCGTGAAAAATATAGGTATAATTGCGTAAGTCCGATAAATCCATCGGTTTATCAATTCCGGCGGGATATAAACGAGTGTATCCAACAGAGAAAGGAGGATTTCGCTGAAATATTTAAAAAACTTGTTGCGTTGACGACAATGCTGAATAAAATTTAGCAACGAGCGTCCTACATAATTATTTTGACGGATCGAACAAAATTATTTTCAAATCTGTATACAGTTAAATTTCTAAACACTCGAAAACCTTTCTTCCCCGTAGCTCTATTTATTTTAACATTTTCATACAGGATCGAAGCCGCATCACCGTGTATTACGCTAGTCACGACGCGGAAAAATGATATATTTGGGATATACGAAGTATACGGTGGCAAGGAGCAACCGCGCATTTATCTTGATAGAACCGGTATCGAACTTTTCTATACGTCACGGTTAAGCGCGCTACATTTTTCTCGCGTCATTGTTACCCGAATTGGCAGAAAAATGTGCGCGCGGCAAATGTCGGAAAAACATTGTCGGGAGGGAGGGAGAGCGGAGAAGGGGAAAAAATGCGGGTAGAATCGCGCGAGCGCGATATATTATCCCTTATATTATGCTATGCATTTCCCACTATACAATATTACGCCTGAGTTTTACATAAGACGCGATAGCGACAAGCTCTCACATTGTTGTAATCCACAATGCCCGCTGTGTGGCTACATTAGTTTATATAAAAATAAATATGCACGATACTTCTGACAGTTTATCGAAGTTATATAAAAATTTCTGTTGCACTCGTTTTAAAGAGAAGGGAATGAAAAAGAGAGAGAGAGAGAGAGAGAGAGAGAGAGAGAGAGAGAGAGAATCACCGCGTACCCCCATTTCTGTGCGAGCGTGCTATCGCGACTTCGTATCGCGAGGAAAAGCTTGAATCGCTGGAGATAATCGCAATTTTCTCGATCGGCCGGCACGTGAATGCCGGTATAATACATAGCGGTGGGTAACTAGGCCGCGTAAATAGGCGGCTGCGAGAAAGAAGAAAACGCGGAGCGACGCGGAATATGCGCGAGCGAGGGCGCACCCTCTCGCTAACACACACCCCCTCCTCCCCCCTCCCCCGCGGGGCTCCGAAACGTCCGCCAATAAATGCACGGCAAAAGCTCCGTTAAAACGATGATTAAAGCGCCGGCTGGTAACGTGCACGCGCGTTGGAATTTTCGCGGTTATCGCGGTTATTAAACGCGCGCGGAATCGGGGTCACGGTGCGTGCGCGAACGAGCGAATTTTCGTCGGGTGAACAACCCCCCCCCTCCCCTACCCTCCTCCCCCCCCGGGGTGACTCGCACCCCGCTTAATATCGCAGGCGGAAATGGCATTACGCCGGATTCTGGATGTAGGTATGTAAGAGGAAATTAGAACTGTTCTTCAAAACGAAACCGCAGACACGAGGAACGGACCCTAAGCAAGGAGACGAGAAGTGAATCCGAGTTGTTCTCTCTTGACGTTTACTACACGATAGCTTTTTACGTTTGCAATAATAATAGAGCCGTGAGGGTGGAATATAAAAGGCGACGGGAGAGATGTAACACACATCATGCGGGACTGACGAGACAATAAGGCAACATAAAACGTTTAATAATACATAAAATGTTTTTAGAGGCAGTTAAGAGCGCTATACGACGAATTTATGTCCGACGTTCGTATAATCAAAGTATCATTAGGATACCGGGCGGGTTTACTTGCAAGACATAAGTATGTCGTAAATAATATATTATTTCTCACTCTTAAGTTTTATAAATGAATTGACGTCCTTTCTGAAATAAATTGCTGATAAATTAATCAGAAAAAAATCTGATAATGTATCTACCAAAATGTATTTTGTTAGATAGCGTATTGCTGAAATATTTCAAATGTTACCTGATGTAATAATAGTAATTAATTATTTAGTAATAATTAGAAATAAATAAGTTTTCTAATTATCGCAGCAAAAAAAGTGACAACTCTTTTTGATGGAAAAAGTTTGTAAGTTTTTAAAGTACATGGAACAAAAAATAACATTTTTCAAATCAAATTTTCATAGTGATTAATTTCATTCAGGCAAAAAAAAAAAATATCTGCTGTTATTTTCACTGGTTTATTCTTTTGATACCGTATAACAATGTATTATTAATTAAACCAAACAAAAGGACGAATACATTTATCGGATGGTAAAAAAATAAACATTTAAAAAAATACAATGAACAAAAATGTATTGTAAATACGCGAAAAATATTTGTAATCTTCAAAAATCACATTTAGTTTCACATTTCCTTGAAATTTAAAAAATGATAGACTTAACACTGGACCAGTACCCAATTAGCGCCAACGATGAGCGAGTAGCAATTGTTAGCAGATGAGACGATAAAAGTATGAATGGAACACGCTTGTGTTTTATAAATCTCATCAGCTTAAGAAAAAAGATGACTCTTAATAACTCATCTTAGACAATAGTGATTTTTAGTAATTTAACAAAAAAGATGAGAGAAAAAACATAACATAAGTGACTGGATGGCAGAGCTGAATTAATATTTAGAGAAGTAAAATTAGCTTTTGATTTAATTAATTAACCGAACATTTAATTCAAATTATTTCATCGAAGCCAAAGCTTTATAGCGTTTTCGATTGCAGTTAATTTGAACGTGGGTTAAATTAATGATGTTACATGCTCTACTATTGGTTGATGTTACATGCTCTACTAATAGTACGTCATTAATCCAATCGAGATCGATTCAAATCTACCGCTCTCTCTCTCTCTCTCTCTCTCTCTCTCTCTCTCTCTCTCTCTCTCTCTCTCTATCATCTGAGTTTGATTATTATTACCAGACATTTTTCAGTACACTAACCGAAATGCGGACGTTTCAGCCCTAATTAGCTTCGAAAAATATTGCCCCTTCGGATCTGTCGCTGCAAAGATGTCGATGCGTCCCACGCGGTGCATAGCTCGGACACTCGCGCATTAGAAGCAGGCGGCGTCTCGCGGAAAAGTGTATCGATCGCGGAAAATTGTCCGATACTAGGTCAACCTACGAGTATTTGCAAGGCGTCCCCGCTCTCCGTCTCGGTTTCCCCAGTCGCGTCGTTGTAACATTTACGATGTGAGCGACAGGACGGGAACGAGTCGTAATATACGACGTGGTTTCCTTGTGTGATGATGGGCAGGCAAGTACCGGCTCACTGCTGAAAGCAGTGCGGATTGAACGCGGAGAATCGCCGGAGAGATGCCGGTTTCGATTAAAGGCAATCGTTCGGATTTTTTCGCACGTCGAGCTTTCATTTACCGGCTGCACGTACAAACGCGTGCATAGATCGACGGGAGAGGAGATGCGAGATGAGCAGCTGCGTCCGACGTTAAACACGCCGCAAATCTGGATCTTCTGGTATCCATTGCGTATAAATTGCACCAGGGCAGAGCCCACGTAATGTAGCGTAAACTCACGCGATTAATGTAATCCCGAACGCTCGTTGGTTGCGAACAAGCTCGAACTTAAGCGGAAACAACAAGAGAGCGAGAATCGCAAGCGTTCCCTAAATGCCCCGGCCGTTCGGGGCGAATGTAACGTGCTGCTGATGTCCGGCGGTTTACGATCTCGTAACTTATCCGACGTGGGGTACACGTGGACGAAGGACTATGGGGAGGGACACACGCAAGTCACAAGGTCGATATTGCACACGCAATACGAGTTATCGCTACGATCGAGTCTCGTTATTGCAGCTTTTTTACTGCAACATGGCACAGCATAAGTGTGTAACACATATCTTTTTTATTAATTCCAGAGAATTTTTCATAACATAATTTTCTACTTTTATTTTATCTAAACGGGACAATTTTGTAGTATGTAGAATAAAAAAAAAAAAAAAATAAGTATGCGAATATAAATTGTGACAAAACTGTGAAATATGAATCGTTTAAAATGATATTGTCACGCGATGGTATAATATTTATACTCTCAGCACGATGCGATGGCATGAAAACAAATATAAAGATAATATAAATTAGCTCCATTACGAATTCCGTTAATTAGGTTAAATATATTCCCAATATTACATTTACACAATATTCTACAAAACAATATGTTTATTTCTGCATGCATTTAAAATTAGATTCCAATATTTATGCATGAGGATAGTTTATTTAGGTAATTAGTAAATAATACGATATTAATATTTTTTGTACAAAATCGATAAACTTACACAAGTTTACAAGCAAACTATTACTTTGAACTAAACGAGCTACTTTTTATAGATTTTCTTTAAAAAATTATGTATTTAAATCCTTCATGACAACTAAAAAGTAAATTGAAATGAAAAAAATTCCATACTTTCGTGACTACTGATCAAAATTTCAAGATAACGATTTGACTTGCATCGTTTTTAGCTTCCAAAAAAATCTGTAAGAAACACATTATCTGGTTCAAAGTAATTTTAAAAAATACTTTTTGTAAACTAGTATTATCTTTATAGTTGACATTATGTTTTCTCCGTTGTAAATATATTCATCTACGAAACCTACATAAACTAACGCTTACAATTTTTATTCAGCTTTCGGTTCTTTCTCGAAAGCCACGTTTTGTTACTTAGACCGTAATTACGACACACGCATGTATGTTAGGCGCCGAAGTTCGCGATGTAGGTAGGTGGATGAGCTGCATAAATTTCGCCGCCGCGCAAAGCTAATTCACCTTACGAGGCAACACCCCGTCGTAACTAACGTGGCGGAAGACTTAATCTGAGTCGAAAATTATTAAACAGGAAATAATTTCTTATTACGACGCAAAACAAAAGCGGGCCACGGCTAAAAAGCGTGCAACACGGAGCAGTATAAAAGATTCAACGACGCGGGGAAATGAATATTTCGAGATCGGAGGGAGAAAGAATGGAACGGGCTTTCTTCCTTGCAAATTTTTGAAGAAATAAGAAAAAGACTTGCAGTCTCCATAGATTGTAAAACTGCTCGTTTATGATATATACATTTTTTAAAATCATAAATATGAATACAAGAGAAAAGCTTGCTCCCTCTCGAAGAGGGTTTACTTACATTCCTGCTTAAATGTGAAGTATTCCGTGAGATGACGGCACTCGTGGTTACCTCTGAGGAGGAAAAGTGTGGTTGGATGGCACAATTTCAGCGCCCACAGGTACAATACGCACTGAAATAAAAACGAAGACATACATGTTAGATAAAGGTAATTCACCGTGTAATAACGCTGATACAATTTCGTAACCTTTAGATATAAACTAACTTATATATATGGTCGACACAATATATTTCGAAATAAATATTTTTTAAACGTACTTATAAATATATAATGTTGGAATTGTCTTTTATGTGTCTGTCAAAATATATAAATTAATTCATTTCTGTGGTCAGTTTTAAAGTAAACATTTGTGTTAACGTATATTCTCAATAGATAATAAATTTTTAAGTAAATTTTAATTTTCTCGAGTTAAATTATTCAATTCCGTTGTTTTACTTAAATTAATGGCATATTGAGTGGGAGTAGTGACAGGTTATAGAAATGATTAAAAATAACTTCAAATTAGGTATAATTAGACGTTATGAATTTAAGTGTATTCTGTTAGATATAAACAAAATAATGGTAATCCAATCTCTTGGTTAAATAACATTTTCTTGTATTTAACTTTTATGTGTGTCAAAATAGAATTTAATTTTTGCATTTCTATAATTGTAACGTAAATAGTGTACGTACTTAATAAATAATAAATTAAATTTAGTACATATTCTCCAGTTAAATTGTTTAATTAATTATTTTAATTTAATTAATGACATATTGATTAGAGCAATAGCAATCTATGGAAAAGATTAAAAATAATTCAACATCATGAAATTAATAGTGTAGTTATAAAAGAAATTAAACTGTCAATAAATTATTAATAAACGATCTATTAATAAACCGAATCGTAAGAGAATTTTCGAAAAACGATCAGTGCCAAAGAATCTATTATGTCAGCTAAAAAAAAAATATTTTACAAGGAGAAATGGAACAAGCGTCCAAAACATAAATAACAAATCAGCTTGCGATTATACTGCATCGACAATATCACGATCCTCCTATTAAATCGAAACAATTCGTTAGTCTCCATCGAGCGGCTCCAATCGAAGATCCCCGGTTTGATCGGCATTCCTCCGCTTTAATTACAGAACTTCCGTGTCGACATGAATTCGAGCGACGTGCTGCCGACAGATTGCATCGCAGAATGCATTCGGACCTCGCGAGATTCTCTCCGTAATTTAACGTGCTATTAATCGGTGCATCGGTCGAAGAGAGATGAGAGCTAAACTCACAACTGCTTAATTTCCTACTCTCTTCTCTCCTTTCTCTCTCTTTCGTTATTTGTATATTTTTGCTTTTACGCTTTTCTTTTATTTTCGTGTTCTTAAAAGACTTGTCCTAGAATAATAATAAACGCCTTCTCTCTCTCTCTCTCTCCCTCCCTCCTTCTCTTTGTCTCTGTCCCCTTTTCTCAATGACAACGATGCCATTAATAATTCTGAAACGTATAATAGTGCTTAAAAGTGAATATTTTGGCAACGGAGACCTTACCAGCAGTTCTCTCATCTTGCAAAAATGAATCGGGTGGCGAAAGCTATGACTTGCATTTGGCTTGCGTTTCGTTTGCTTTGCACTCAATAAAAACATTGCACAGTTGCACAAGGTATGCGTATTGTACACAGGGTGAAAATTATTTAATAAACGCGAGAATTGCTCGCCGAAACTCGAGAAAAAAATAACAATGTGAATAAATTCACACTGTAGAACTTAAATATAAGATGTTATTGACTGTGTGTTATAAAGTAATAAAAGTATAGATAAAATATTGAGTAGCTTGCCTCGATCGTGAAATAAAAGTTGGAGTTTTGAAACTATTCTTCGATGGAGCGATCGGAATTGTCGGAATTTGGCTGTTATTCGGGGCGAAGTGCGTTACGCGCGAATGCATTACTAATTAATATTATTCGTTGTAACACACAGACCACTGACCCGCATTAAATTGGCAATGGCCGTTGCTAACGAACGGCGGATTTCGCACGAATTTTGTGTCCGCGCTAATTAGCTCGCTCGCTCGAATGTGGCGGGCCGTAATGACGATTCCATTAACTTCAACACGGTTTTAGATAGAAAATGGGGAGGGACAGGGCGCGATTTCGTTGGGCCTTTTATGTGGTTAACATTTGTCCCGCATTCATTGTCCGCGGCTATTTAATAATCACGGATGATGCGGCACTTTTAAACAGGCTTAATTACGCGCATGAACAATGTGAATTAAAGCTTTTATAGGCACCGCACGTTCGCCGACAATTTTCTTGTAATGTGGAAAATTTGATCGAACAATCTTGATATCATCAATATGCAAAATGCAATTGTATCAAACGCAAGATTTCTTTACCTTGTCAATTATTTAATACCAATTTTAACCGGATAGAGAATTCAATAGAATCCAATATTTCTTTTCATAATTTTTAAAGTTTTCAACGTATTTCAAAAATTAAATTTCTATTCAACGATATAATAATAGTCTTAAAATAAATGAAAAGAATAAATTTATCCTTCGGCAATTCAAAAGTTCAATTTTGGTAACACACTCCACATTTTCAATCGCTTATGACAAAAACTAGTTGACATTTCATCATTTTTAAAAATCATCAAAAAAGATTGTAAAAATCAAGTTAAAAGTAATTGAAAAATTAGTAGATAGAGAAAAGATGTCTCAATTTTAGAGTGTACACAAAAAATTAATACAAAAAATGGAACACTGATACAATTTGCAAGCAATTATATTTCTTCATTAAAATTTATAGCATGTCAAATTAATATGTTTCAATAAATTTAACATTTATGATATAATTAAATTAACACATTTTTATAAGATATTTTTAACAATATCCAGTGTGATAGATACATGACAAAACGATACAGTGTGGAATCTCCAAAGGAGATTAAAGGCAAAATGAAAACCAACTCGATATTATTATTCATCCTGGAACGATTTTTCTCCTTTAAAAAGTTAATCTTTGCCTAATCTACCGAGGAAAGGATAGCTGAGTGGCCCTTCCCAGTCTTTCGCGACTGCAGAGCGTAAAAGGGGAGAAATCTCTGAGAAAAAGTTGAAAAATATTCTAGCACCGTGGTCTTACGTAAGGTGAGACAGATGTGATTACGATTGAAACCGCTGGACCGGAACATTTAACCTTTGTGCATCAAATCGATACCATGGAACTACCAACATCGCATCGCGGCTCGGCTCAGTGGGATAGAGGGAAAGAAATGTCACACACATTGGTTACATAGGATATTTATCTCCCACTCTCGCGTCTCGCAGGATCGCAACGTCGTGGCGACGGTTAACACGTACGGCGGTAGGGGTATCGATAACACAACGCGGTTTTTTCAATTTTGCATGACGGCGCGCTTCCGAGAGCGAGATAAATCCTCGCATCCGTAAAAGCCAGGGCGCCGGCAATTTTTTTTCTTAGACTTTCGAGGTCAATTATTTTCTCCCTGCTGACCCGATCGACTGTCTACCGTCGTCCGCCCCTCGCGTCGTTCCGCGACCCTTCTTCCTCCACCGTCCCTTTGCGAAGTCAACGGAGCGGCTGCTCGTTCTCGCCTTGTCCCGGCCGCTATAATTACACGCGAGGGCCCTCATTGGCATTGTAACGAAATAACGCGCTCGTCCTTCAGGTTCCGCCGCGAATCGCTCGCGAACGGCACACTCGTGCTCTCCGCATCGGATACATAAGTCCCTTATAAGGGCCATCACACACACACACACACACACACACACACACACACACACACACACACACACAAAATGACATGAACTGCATAAACATAGCATAAGACCGCTGGGCCGATAAACATCTTATGCAAATCAATATGGTGTCTTTTTGTCAGATGATCTAGCGGATTGGTCTAGCGGTCTTGTGCTACGCTTATGTACTTTATGTCATTTTGTGTGTGGTGGCCCTTACACGACGATTGTGCGAAACGCATATAAACATAGATTGACAATCGAACTCGTACATAAAATTAGAATTCTTTTTTATTTTTAATTCAAATTTGTTAAGTTCATTCGTCGTCCAAATTAATAATATCTTCTTCAAGGCGGAGAATCCATTTGCGTTTATATTCCAATGATGTTCCCACAGTTAGGGAAGTACTCTCGAAACTCTTCAATTGAAATAGTCAAGATGCCGATTGAAACTTCTTTTTCCAACTTAACAAAGATTTGTACTACTTAGAAACACGCTGCTTTATCTTCGTAAATATTTTCCAATGTTTTCATAATTTCTTTTAAAGATTCTTTTCAGTAAGAATTTTGATAGTGATTCCTTCAATACCACTTGAGATACTCAACGTAATAAAAAGACGCCTTTGCTAAATGAACAATTATCTATCATACACACA